TAAAGATATTAAAGACAGACACAATGCAAGAAGATTATAAAGACATCATCATAGCAATTAGAAACCAAGAAGAAACTGAGATAGATGGAAAAGATGGAACCTATGAAACTAAACGACAGAAAAACAGAGATAAGACTATAGAAGAATCACTAGAATGAAGCATTTGGTCATCCTCGAACAGAGAATGCAGTAACGAAAGAATGTATGCAGCAAAAATACCAGCATATAATGTACTAGGTAGCTCACAGGAAGAAAGAACAAAATTCATTAACAGATTGCTAGTATTCAACAAACATGTTAAAGAGGTCAAAGAAAAGTTTAAGAAAGGTAATGCTTGGATTATTGTTATGTTTGACTGTAAATACAGCAGAGAAGAAGCAATCAACAAAATCTAAAGAAAACATGATGACTGGTTTAGAATGATCACAGACATAGACAAATCAGAAGAAGAAGAGACCAAAAAAAGTGAGAAGTTAAAGCAGAAAGAGAAGCTGATAGAAGAAAAGAAAAATAAAGAAGAAGCCAAGAGAACAGAAGACAATTTACACAATCAAGGAAAAGAAAACATAGACAAAGAAAATAGAGAAAATACAGTAGCAGTAACAGTATAGGACCTGCCGAAAGAGATGACAGAGTATGAAATTAAATACTTGTAAGAAAAATAGGTAAAGTAACAGAATGCAGAATCTGAAGAAGTGTATACAGAACAACGGCAGTAATAAAAGTAAAAAGAGAAGAAGAACAAGCATTTCCATAGGTAATTCTTTTAAGAAATAGAAAGTTAGCAAGAATGACAATAGGAGAAGAAGAAGATGAAAAGAAAAAAGAAAGAAACCAATTCACAGCAAGACTGATAGTAACACCAAAGGGAATTTCTGAACTAATCCTACTACAAAAGCTCAAGACCAGAAAGGCAATGGCAGTATACATTCCACTAAACAGATAGGGAAGACCAAGAAATTATGCAGTAGTGTCATTTAAAAGTCAAGAAGATATGAATATAACTACTAGAAAAAAGGTCTGGTACAATGGAGTAGCAGCAGGGAGGGCGAGCAGACTTTTATGTGTAAAAAAAAATACTACTGGATCGTCCTCATGGGCCTTATGAAGTTCACTATCATATATAAAAAATATATTATTTTTTGCTACTCTACTTGGCTTTAGAATTAGATTAGAAGCTCTATAATCATGGTGTAAATTTTTATATATCAAAAATCTACTCTAATGCCTTCTATTTATTAAGTTTACTAATTTGTTTTCTTGCCTACCTGAAGTCTTATTAATCTCAAGGAAAGTAATTTCTTTTCTTGCCTATCTAAAGCCTTGTTAAGCTTAAGAATATAGGTTTGTTCAATACTCTACTCGACTTTAAAATTGGGTTAGAAGGCTTATATCGTGGTGTATTTTTTTTTATATCTAGAATGTTTTCTAACTCCCTCTTACTCATTAAGATTGTTAATTTGAATCCTTACCTACCTGAAGTCTTCTTAACCTTAAAGAAAGTAATATATTTTCTTATCTATTTAAAGTTTTGTTAATCTTAAAAATGTAAATTTATCTTCTTACATATCCAAAGCATTGTTAATCTTAAAAACACTATTTCGTTAGCAAGAAACAGATAAAAAAAAAAAGCAGGCAGACTGAGTGTATAAAAAAATTCTATCTGCAGAACACCTTGACATGCCATTGGGGTCACTATCAGAGCACCTTGGTGGATTATTGTGAAAAGGCATTAGCTCTATCCCGAAGCCTATTAATATATTAGGTTACATAGCAACACTAGCATATTTTTTGCAAAGGCCGGGTTCAGAGCTAGTCAGCTTACTACAACCTTGGAGAAGACGCTTGAACTTGCTCTTCTGCTTTTTTAGCTCTGTTTGCTGACAGCTCTAAAAGCAATTCATCGATTTTTATTTGAATAAAAGCATCTCACCTCTAGGTGTAAAAAAAAAATCAGATAGCATGATATAAAAAAAAAATGGCTAGCAAGATGTAAATAAAAAATTATCAGCCAAAATAATCTAGCTTTACTAATCTCCAAAAAGGTCAATACCCATATTCTCACTATCCAAATCAATCAGAGCTTTAGGAATATTATCAGAGGTAATGATTCTGGATTGAAAGATCGTAACCTCATTACTGGGCTTGAAAATCGGAGCTTTATCTTCAGTATCTTCTGATTCTTTGCTTATGATTGGAGCAATAGTGCTAGTTACCTGTAGTGCTTCGATCTGTAGACCTTGCTCTCCTGCTTCTTCAGTTTTGTTCGCTGACAGCTTTAGAAGTAATTCATCAATTTTCATCCGGATTAAATCATCAGCATTAGCTTTATTTCGAAGCCTATTAAAATATTGGGTCACATAATAGGTACCAGAATGCTTTCTACAAAGGCCGGGTTCAGAGCTAGTTGGCTTACTGCAAACCTTACAAGGAATGCGAGGTTTAGCTTTCCAATGTTCAAAGCAACCTTCTGGCTGACGGCAGGTTCGTCCACAAACCCATCCAGTTCTAAGTAAATAGTTGCAAAAATATTCACCTCACATAGTAATAAGAAATAAATATTTTATTTTAAACTAAAGTTTTCACTATATTAATACAAATAATATTCAATACTTAT